TGAAATAAGCATTGAAATGACTCGACTGTTAAAATCACAGGTCTTGACAAATGCCTTGCAGGAGAGTTGGCGGGACCACTGGGGATGTGTGTGAAATATGTGGAAGAGTAAGGGGAAGAAGGAACGACAGAGCGATCTGATGGAGAGCCTAATCTGGGCAGTGAATCCTGGTGGGAGCTTCCAGCCTCTCATCCATTTTCTCATATCTTTCTCTTCATGCGCAGTTTATCATATCGCAACAGCGTGCATAACCACAAATCTCTCATATCTCCCCCGCTGGCAAAGATGGAATGAATAAATGACCCATGAGCCCACAAGATCCTCCTCTCAGAGAGACACGAAGGGTAGGAAGTGTGGAGTCGAGGGAGAAAAGATGAGGATGAGATATTGCTCTGGTTTGTGAAAGAGGTATGTTGTGCTACGGGATTTAAAGCAGGAGGGGAAGAAATATGTGTTGTAGGAGACGGGGGTCACAATAATGAATTTAGTAGTAATGATGGTGAGATATCAACGGAATATATGGAGAGAGAAGGCATAGTGAAGTGAACAAGAAATATGACAAATAGTTATTGGTTCTGGTGCTCAATATACACTCTCAATGACTCGTTTTGCTCTCTCTTATTGTATAACAACACACAAATACAATGAAATGCAATTCCCAAGAGCATCAAAACAAAATTGGATGAGAGCGCAAAATAAGAAAATCTACTGATGTCTCGCCAGAAATGACAACACGAGAGAAGTGTGTGCATTGTGTTCAAGCATTTCCTGGATATTACCACACTGAAATGGTTCATAGTGTAGCCTGGTGTAGTGGAATGCCTGAATAAGTGAAAACAAGGCCTTCTCCAGCACAGCTCCCCATCTGCTTCTGTTATGTTCATCTTGAAATGGTAGAGCGGAGCATGTTTAGAGGTATTACAGGGGCTCTGGTAGTCCAAAACAAACAGTCCCTATTGTTGCTGGCTCAGGCTTATAGTATATTTGGTGTGTGCGCGTTTTTGTCTGTGTTTATGTACTGTATGTACGCCTTTGTGTCTGTATACTCAGAGATAAATGGCTGTTTATTTGTTTTATAGCTGCACTGAGTGGTTGGCTGTGGTAATGATGCACAGATTTCATTCCTCATTGTTAGTTGCCTTAAAAAAAACAACAAAAAACTTGATGTTGTTTCAGATTGTGCCATCTTCTCTTCTCTTCTCTTCTCTTCTCTTCTCTTCTCTTCTCCTATTCTTCTCCTATTCTTCTCCACCCCTCTGTCCCTCCCTCCCTCTCTCAGAGCTGAGGTCATAGCTGGCTGAGTTTGGAGGTGGGTTGGAGTACAGACATAAGAGAGTCTGTTTTTCTCATCAGTCAGTGTAGCGCTCAAGAAACCTACATGTGTGAAGGAATGGGGGTCTATCTGCTCTCTTAGTTAGGGGAGATTTTACAACTATGAAATGCTGCTGCTGTAACAGAACAGTCACAAAGCTCATCAAGTAGAGAGAGAGAGATGGCCATCCAGTTGTCTTACTTGGATGTGGCATATCGTGGGTCAGCTACAAAAGAGTGACCTCAGAACTGTTTTGTCTTGCTCAGCTACACTTGGTTATACACTTGTAATGTGAACCTGACCCTTAAATGGAAACCTGACCCCACTGACCATTTGTATATCAATTACAGACTACACTCTTTTTCAGTTGTTGAATTAAACTCACAGGGGCCTACATTTACAGTAACAACAGCAAAACTTTACAGTAAGTTACAGTAAAACATCCGTTTACAAACTCTTACACAACTTGTGCAGTATAATACAAGTCTCATTTATCCAGTCGTATGCTCAGTACATCCTAAAAACATGCATTTTTGTATATGTTTGGGAAGAACTAAGCATATAAATAAATGAGATTTGGATTATACTGCACGAGTTGTGTGAGAGTTTGTGAGAATTTTCTCCATGTTCCGATTCTTCCCTCAACGCAATACAGGGTGAGTAACTGATAAACAAATGGTCATTTCAAGGGTGAAGTACTCCTTCCACAGTCTGTGTGGTCAGTGCTGAAGGAGCACCATCCCTCTGTACTCACTCCACCACACTGTTGGCATATCCAGATTATCAATCAGTGGTTCACCACCGGGTTTGACATTATCCTCAGTTACAGTAAATAGCAGTGCAGAAGAAGCATGGCTTTAAAAGCTTGTTATATTCACAACTGTGAACTTTTGCGGGCCTTCTTGTCAAAGATAATCCATTCATTTCATGTCAGCAGCGAGGATTCACTGAACCGTAGAAATACTATAATAGCAGGTTTCATTTAAATTTCAACCCTGCAGATAATCTTTTGATAAAACCAAAACAGTTCTTTCAGAGAAAGTATAGAAAAGGCTGAGGATGGTAACTTGATCCCCTCAATAAACTTTATTGTGCCAGTGCATTTCAGCGATATGTGTCCTCCCTCGGGGCATAATAATGAAGTTTATTACAAAGTGATCAGGTCCCATTTATACTTACAGAAACCGATTTCATAGATCTTAACCATTTCTTACTTTGGTTGCTTTTGTAAAATATTGCATTTGTGAACCCGTCGACCTTGTTTGTGTCCAAGACAGGGATTACCGTAAGTAAAGTCCTGAGGAGAAAAATGCCTGAAAATAGGATCTTTGCAAACTCCACCTCAGTCAAAGCCCTGGCGGAACAAAGAGTCTCCCACAGCACAGTGTATCCTCGTGTGCAAGCCTGTTCCCTGTGGGTGGAGAATTTGCACATGCAATTAAGACTCCTTCAGAGGCACAGCAACCTTCGACCTTGACTGCTCGTGAATGGTGACCTTTAGGAATGTCTTGAGGACCAAGGATCAGTAAATGTGAGGTGGTGTCTGAGCTCTGGATGCTGGTAAAGTTAATGAGGGAGTGGAGTAAGTTGTTGCTATAGTTTTGTGGCTAATCCCTGAGACGTGAATGATCTAGGTAAGCCTTGGCAATGTGGAGAAAATGAAATATAATAATATTTTTGATCGAATATCAATATTGTGGGGTTGACTGTTGGTGCTTTTACAAAAGATTTACACAGTAAGATTTTTGATAAATAATCCGTAATGTGGATATAATGACTAAGTGGGTAAAGGCAATGATAGATCAGCTGAAACAGTTCAGAAAATTACATTATTTTACTGTAATTCAGCCTTTAAAACAAAGAGAAGACAACACTTGAGATGTTACAATATCCAAAGTCTGAGATGATATCTAGTCTCATATCACAGCATTGATTTAATATCAATATATTGCCTAGTCAAAGATACAGCTGACACAAAACTTACGCAGCACTGGAACGCCCTGGTGAATCTTTCTTTCTTTTTTGATTTAAAAATACTTGGTTTTGCTTGATAATATGCTAGATATACACCTGTCCCCATTATCAGCACAATAAAAAGAATCTAAAAAAGAAAGAAGAGAGAACAGTTACAGTTTCAGCTGTGCAGGGCTGGCGTGCAGCTGGTTCAACAGGGCGCACAATATGGTTATTGTGCCCTCAGCACACTCACACACACATACCAATTGACTTTCGTCGCTCTTTGTTCTTTGGACAGAGACTTGTTGTCCCAGGAAAAAATAACAGAGTCATTCAGAGATGCTAACTGAGTTAGCCGGACAGTTGTCAGCCTTTATGCCAAACTGCTGTTGTTTTTACTGTCGACTTTTATAGTAGGCTTAAATGTTTTAAACTAATACATTGTTTTTTTCGCTCCCTCTCTGTCTCTGTGTCTCATTCTCACTGTCTCTCACTCTCTCTCTCCCTCCACCCGCCACACATCCACAAACACAGACCGTTCACCTTTGGCCCGCTGTAATAGCTGCTCATGGCCTTACACTCTTGCTACCCAGCTCCAGATGTTATTGACACACCCCCAGGAGTCCACCAGAGACAAGTTTACACAGACACACAGTCAGACACAGAAACGCTTCTATACTTACACACACAGTAAGCTTTAACAATTCATCTCTCTGCAGGCCGCCTCGTAAAATCACTTACACTCACAAACACATTTACCCCCAGTTGTGCTTCAAACACACACATGAATCAGGATTATATTGGAAGCATGTCATGTCAAATAGCATATGGGTATCATTTTTTACTCTGAACTAGTGGTATAGATAACAGCCAGGAAGATGTGTAGCATAACAAGTACCATAGTATGAATCCCATTTGTCTTGAATTTTGCTGAATATGAAGTGACACATTCTGCAACAAAGCGAACACTTCACTCAATAACTCTGCACGTAGTTTGTTCAGCAGTGGAGTTATATCTTGCTGGTCTCATGCAAACACATCATGAGTTGTTGAGTTGCCACAGTGACCTGCAGTCTGACTGACTGAAGGGTGCGGTAGGACAGGTTTTCACCTGCAAAATGTCAAAAACCCTGTAGCTGTGAACAGCACTGACTGCATTTATTTAACATTCAGGAGCCATCCATCTGTGAGGCGAACACTGAGAATGTGCTGCCGAGCGCCTTCCTGTTTTACGCATGTACTGTGAAGACCTCTGGGAAAGCAAAAAAAGTGAACAAGTGCATGTGTCACAGTTGAGGAGAATTCATTTTTGCCGGCGCATTGTAGAGATGCTTTGAGCTGCGGGGAAGCTTGTTATGGCTTAAGACAAAATATGTGCAGTAAAACATCTGGCTATGCATGTGTGTGTCCCATGCACAATGCAAGACTGAACACATGGCGTACCCAGCTGTCCACCCACGCACGCTTGGATATGAATGTTTTGGATGATCCATAACTATTGGGCACACAGGAATCAAACAAGTAGTCGTTCAATCCTGAAAAATCAACCTGTGTTTTGATGACAGTCTTCATTACCTGCGCCAAGGAGGTTATGTTTCGGGTTCAGTTTGTTGTTTGCCTGTCAGCAGGATTACAGAAACTACTGGCCCCACTAGTTACAAACATGTCTGTTATGTCTTTATCACTCACATTTCTCAGTAGCTGACCTGTGTGTTTGTTTGTGTGTCCACAGGGCAGTATTCACATATGATGGATTCACCAACAAGCTCAAACTGGCTGACTCAGGAGGTAAGACGGGCTGTCAAGTGTGGTATGTTTGTTAGAAATGCAAACTCTAAAAATCCTTGTCAGCTTTTTCTTTGAAAGGGATTCACATGTCCTCTCGCATTTAGAAAATAATCTAACATTCGTACAATTAGCTATTGAGAGAGAATGTAACATTTGTGTTGTCGACCCCTCCATCAGTCTCCCTTTTTCCTTTGTTCCCTCCAACTTCTCCCTATCTCTCTCTCCTCTCTAACAGCGGGTGGTGTGGCAGAGCTGGCAGGGAAGTTTCACATCTCCAAGCCTCAATATGGACTGTGCAAAGTGGGAAGCGCGGAGACAGGAGGCCCCCGGATTGCTATGATCAGCTGGGTGAGTGGCAGACGGGCTCATGGGGCTTAGCTCATGTAAGCACGGGCTTATCATGTTAAAGAAACACACATACCAGCACTAATTACACAAACACACGTAAGCTTTGCACATACATACAAAAATAGCAGGTACACACATAGGTGCTCACACACTCGCGTTCATTGAGATACAGCAAAGACATTTAGCAGCTCCAAGATAATGGGGTTTAACATCTTAAGTGGTCACATACAGAAGAATCTATACACTCATTAATCTGTAAAATGCTCTGGAGGAAATCCTAAGTTACTTGACTTATTCACATTCTATGGTCTTGTTTTGGCACAGGCTTATTCAGCATCTGACATGTGGGAAAGTGCTGTGAGAATGTGCGTCATTGTTGTACAAAAGTTTATGAATCACAGGGCATGTCTGATGTTTGTCACACAGTTGGAGGACGCTCAGTGATGATGATAGAAAGCTATATATTCACACATACTTTGGTCATGAATTAGTCCATTAAACAGATGTTGGCAGAATTACAGTGTTGCTAAAGTTACTCAAAAGATAATGCTGCATACAGTAGTTCTGTGATTGTAATTCTTCATGACTTGTAATTGGAGCTTTTATATTTTTAGTGAGTCATCTGTCCAAATAGACTCCAGCAATGTGAATCCTATTGTTCCTCAGCCTCTCCTCCTCCTCTTTTTTTAGTCCCCCCCCAAAGAGAGGCATGATATGAATGTAAGTGTCGACATCCTGTGTTTGTCCGCAGGTCGGCCAAAATGTGGAAGACTTCCGAAGGACAGAATGTGCCAGCCACATCCCAGCCATCAGAAACTTCTTCAAGGTGCAGTAGCTCAAGATGTGCTCGATCTTACGTCACAAACCTTTGTACACGTCATGCAGTTTTTCAATTTTCAAAATGCTTTATTGGCATCAGTGTCTGGTGAACAATACTGTATAAATGTATAAAAGAACAAGCTGGTTTATTTAACTTTAACCTTAAAGGGGACGTAACTCCAGCTGACATTTTCAGCATTGTGGAGGGGCAGAAACAGTCCAGTACATGAAAAGATTGTGAACATAATACCTGGCACTCCTTGTTTACCAAAACCCCTGCAATAGAGAAAAAAATGTTCTCTGTTTTCCTTATCCCTGGACTCTCGACTTTGTGCTCACAAACTCTATATTTACTCTCGGTAGTTTACTTTGTATTGTTTTGAGAGCTTCCTGTCCTCAGTCCACTTCCTGTTCTATTGCAGTGTTTGGTTACGCGATTGGCCTATCTGCCATGTCGCTACCAGGGGGAGACAGCTGAGTTTGGGCTTGAAAGCCCCATTGTTTGTGGTTCAACCTGAAGTCACGTCACAAGCTCAAGTGGTGATAGGAGAGACAGGAAGTAAAGGGAACAGAGAATGGAGAACTTACGTATATTTTATGTTTCAGGTGTGTGGACAGTGTATCAGCGACTCCATCTGTCACTGTGTTAGCTGCAACTTCTCGTGTCCATCTGTGCTCTTCAAACTGTGTTTATTTAGTGGTAGGAGAGGTTCATCTGACCCCTAGGTTTACTGGTTTCCATATAAAGGCATCACCCAGTCAACTGCAGAAGCATCTGTGGAATGTTTGTTGTTTTTTTGTCTCTCTTTTTTTAAAGAGTGAATGTCGAGTCTGGGATTTTGTGACCCACTGTCTGAAAGTACCTAACCCCTCTATGTGTGTGTGTGCGTGTGTGTGTGAGAGAGAGAGTGATAGAGAGAGAGCACTCTTGGGCTTGTGTGCATATTCATGTGGGATTTCAAAATTGTAGAGAAATGATTACTCTGTGGTCAATATGGCATGGAGTGAAGAAAAAGAATATTGCCTTGCCTTCTGAGAATTGTGGGAGAATTGTAACCTCTGACCTTAGCAAACACACACACGTATACATTAACAGCAAGACCTGTGTCATGACAGTGCATTCAACTTGTGGTCACTACTGTCACTATCAACCCACTTGTTTGTGATAAAAACAAAACATGGAACAGAAACCTCTTAGATCAAGACCAAACTGTTGTTCTGACAGCTGTTAGCTTAAACTGCAAAAGAAGAATGTAAGTTCATTTTTCCTTTGCACAGCAGTTCAGACTGAGCTGTATTACTTTTTGCTGGTTCAGACTAAAAGAGAACACACTGTATCACCTTGCAGTGAGGACATTATAGCCAAGCATATGGATCGTATTTGCAAACACTGCAGTGATGACATGCTAAAATGCTAGCCTGTCTTCTGTTCATTCTGACTTTGCCAACAGATGTGATGTTTGTCACACTCTGTTAAGGCCACGTAATTGCCTTTATTCACCGTTCTCATCACGTACATTGTTCATGAACAAACAAGATCTTTAGAAGCTTACTTCATATGCTGGCAACGAATACCGTAAACATCATGGGAAGCTTGCACAACAGCAAAGTCTGTGTCATTCCTCTGTCTGGGAAATCAACTGGGATTGGCGTGTGATAAATTCCTGAAAAATGATTAATGAAACAGGTTTGTTTAGTGTCTAGCAGTCTTTACAAAGATTTCACAGCCAAGCAAAAATTAATGGTACAAAAAGTGACATTGTAAAGAAGTTAGTGCTAGTGCTAGTATCGATGAAGACCTATGTCGTGGTTCAAGGATAACAACCATGAAATTGTCCTCATACAGCGGCTTGTATGATATCTGACGAAATAGCACCCCACGAATGACGTTACATATTTAACGTAAAGTTACATAGTTAACGTCAAGTTACTCAGGTTAGGTTTAGGCAAGTATAGTTACTTAGGTTAAGTTAAGATGATGACGTACCATAAAACTACTCAAGGTTCACTTGGTTTCACACGGTTCTGAACACCGGTCTCCAGGGGGGGAGTCCTATGTTGTTGCTGTCTTACACCAATTTTCAGTCTTCTACCACTTCCTTCTTTATTCCTGTCAGCACATTGGTCACGTGATTGCAGCCTTCCTGATTCTGCAGGTTATATGTGGATTGTGGAGAGGGACTTTTTGTAGGTAGACCTCTGAACAGTTTGTAAGAACAGCCTGAAATTACTTATATTACAGGCTCCATTTAGTGATTCTTTGTCTTCTTTATTAAAATCCAGTGGCAACTTAATATTGATTGAATCTGCTTTTACTTCTGGAACCTCAGACGTGCCATCGTTGAGGACTTGGCTTCTTGGATTCTGGAGTTACTCTCTTATCCTGAAGCCTCCTTAAGGAATCTGATCCCGTTTGATTTGGCGATGGGAGCCTCTTGCGACTGCATGCCTTTGCAAACGTCAGCCCCAGTAGGATTCGAAACCCCGGACTTTCCGCATGGAAGACGAGTGCTGTAACGAGTGCACTAGGCCCCTGGCAACTTAAAATTGACTAATCAATTGATAGTCAATCAATCAATGAGTCTGTCAGTGCTTATTTTTAATTGAAAGTTTCCCTTATTTACTGAGGTGAAGCCATGAATCTGTGGGCTTGTGCTTTAGATGGATTTTTCATAGAGTAAAGCATGTTGGTGAAGATTCTCAGTCATCCAGGTCATGGTAATCTTCAGTGCTATATCGTAGGCAACTGGACTTGCTTGAGTTTCTTGAAGATGCTTCACCTCTCATCCAACTTAGAACTGAAGAAGCCTCTTGGGTGAGAGGTGAAATTCTTCAGGAAACTCAAGCAAGTCCAGTTGCCTACGATATAGCACGAAAGGTTTGAGTGAAGGATATGCAAAGTTTTTCCGGCAATGCTAATGCAAAGTCAAATCCATTGCATTACATAATGCATTCATGAAAACTCATAGGCTACCTGTTAAAGGTCACCTCTCTTGCTTTGATTCTTTTGTACTCTAAAACAATACATGACTATTTTCACATAGTCTCAGGGGGACTTGAGCACTAGTTTTTATGGGACAAGAATTTAAAATAGAGGGGTTGTAGGATAGTTGCTGGTATTATGTCACCAAAGCAAGATTGTATTTGACTGTCATCCACATCTCGATCAGATAATAAAACCTCAGCTAATACCTACTTGACCTTTTGGTGACTGGGAAACAAAACTACTGAGAAAACCCACATCCATAAATCGACTGATGATAATAACTGGAGGCTAAATTAGCTTGTTTTCTGAGAATCTTGGCTTTCATTGCTTTGGATACAGTTAGTTAGAATTCCCCTCTGCACTTTGTTAGTTCGTATTTGTTGGTTGCTTCTTTTCTTCTCTCTTTCCCTCTTTTTTTTCCCACCTTGTCTCAGTCTTTCAGGCTTGCTGTGCTGCATGTCCCAGCTGGCAGTGAGGGGGTTTTGTTAAGGCGAGTCTGCAGCAGCCGCAGATTTGGGTACTTTATGTACTGTACTCCAGCGTGGCATGAAGCTATGAAAACTAAATATGAATAGGCTGCAGATGTCTCTATTGTTTGACATTTTCACTGAAATAATAGCAGAATAAAGTGAGTCAGAAGGGTGTGTTGATTTTGTGAGCGATACACTTGAGGAGGAGGTAGATGTGAGAGTATCTGATACACAGTAATCAGATATGAGAAAGCGTTTTAAAAGGAAGACACGAGAAGTTGGACATTTTCTTATATTTAAATATTTAATTAATCAAACGTGTTATAAGAATAACCATATTTGGCCACATGGCATCCTGGAGCAATGCCAAATTTATTTTAAGGTGGAGCAGGGGATTTGGATTGCAACACCGAACAGTGCTTCTATTGTAAATATGGAATAAAGCAACATGTTCGGGTCAAGGCGCTAAACCCTGAGGCACTTTAGATCATTCACGTCTGTCATCGCGCCTTGACACACACTTGAGAACAAAGGATTTACTTTAAAGCCCAATTTCTGCTTCTGTCTCATTTCAGCAGAGGAGCTCTCATTACAAAGTGACGTTACTTTTTCGTAACCTTTATGAAAATAACTGTCATATAACTGCTAAAACTGTCGCCATATTTTGTAAGAAGTACAAGAATCCGGGGCGTCGGTGGCTTAGTGGTAGAGTAGGCGCCCCATGTACAAGGCTGTTGCCGCAGCGGCCCAGGTTCGAGTCCAGCCTGTGGCCCTTTGCTGCATGTCATCCCCTCTCTGTCTCCCCCTTTCACACTTAACTGTCCTGTCCATTAAAGGCAAAAAATGCCCCCCCCCCCCAAAAAAAGAAGTACAAGAATCCCGTCTTACTTTTCATGAATCACCTTACATTATTTTTTATATTATTATAAAAGTAAAATTTTCAAAACTAAAACAAAATCTAAATTCAGAATTCTACATATACACAATTACTTAAATTTATGATTAAATGATGCATCAGTCATCTGGGTCAGACTCCAGCTGGGGACACTTGAGTACCCACATCCACCTACTGCCTCTCACAGTCTGAACAACTCCTGAAGCAGTTCCAGAGAGCAGACAGTTTGTGCAGAGTTGAGCACTATTATATCAAGCCGGTAACTCTCAACCTGTCACATCACCTTGGGCTCCTTTTCCTCTTAGAGAGATTACATTCCTATACCCGTGGCGAGTTTTCATTGCCAAGGTCATTAATGCCACAGATCCTAAAAAGACTGTTGCATGCAACAACCCACTTGGACATTATAATGAGATTTTCCCAGGAAAATATCTAGGGCATGGATCGGGGTGATTATGACACATTTTCCTAAATAGAGCAGTTTACTATTAAAGCCTTACTGTGAACATACAGTAAATAGAAGAGTAAAATACGTAATGCTCGCTGATTTTGAGGTCATTAAACTTACAGCAAAACACATGTTAGTAGCTGAAACAGCGTGGAAAAAAGAGTTAGAAGAACAATGAAGGCAAAGTGAGGGACTGAGAGGAGGGTTGGGACTTTTTAAAATCTCAAACACTTATGATTTACATATTAAAGGGACAGTTTACCTAACCGAGCAAAATACTGTCAAATACCATGAAACCGATATAATTAAAAAAAAAAAAAAAAAAAAAAAACGTGATATGAAAATTTTGTCATGCCGCCCAGCCCTGTTTTCCTCTTACCTGTGATGTCATGTAATAATCTGGATTGTTTTTATGTGGGTTGCCGAGTGTTGGAGATATTGGCTGTAGAGATGTCTGCCTTCTCTCGAATATATTTTGTATTTAATGGGAAAGGTTACAATCAGCATTCACTCATTAAACAAATGACTCAGCAGGAGTCACGGGTATTTTTTGGCTTGAGCTCCGATTGACTGTGATAGAAATACAACACCCAGGTCAGCACACCAATTGCAGCCCCTTTGCCAGTGCAATGCAATGACGTAATACTTAAACATTCGAAAAAATTCCAACATTCAAAATTAAGTCAGCACCAATTTTGAGAGACTGAGTAAGTAAGCAATATGAAAGAGATGTTGCCACCATAACATTTTCACCCGCCTTCATGCAGCTTTCTACTGTATACTAACCTGTTTTCTGGCCTGTCTCTAACGTTTAAAGGCATACTTCTCTGCAGAGCCACATACACTCCTGTGCTCTTTTTTTGGCACTGGGACAGCAGTCTGTCACCTATTTTTAATGGGTTTTCCCTGCATGCAGTCATTTAATGGAAAAGGGGTAAAGTTATACTACTTAGCACTCAGCTTGTAGTGCTCAAAGTGCCAAAAAATCAATTTGGAAAACTCAAAAGTAATGTCTCTTTCCAAAAATCATCAAACAGTTACTGATGATAATCCACAGACTTTGCTGGGAGCAGTTTCATGTTTGAATTATCTTCTTTCTACTGTGCTACAATTGCCATCCGTATCTACTGCTAGCTCACCTAGCACCATTATGCTAGCTAATGTTACAGCCTAGCTGGGGAGGACAACAGTGTGTAAAGAAGAGGGAAAAGAACATAGAAAGAAAGGTGAGAGACTGAGAGGATGGTTGGGACTTTTTTAAAAATCTCAAACACCTATGATTTACATATTTAAAAAGATGATAAAAAATGAATCCATGTCCTTTGTTATGGAAAAGAATAAGAAAATAATTAGAGGCAATTTGTGTGAAGTACGCAGAGATCCATGTGTCCATCTGCTAGACTCAACTGCACAGAGCTGTCTGAACTCTACATGTTTGATAATATCCATTTGCCCTACCTTTGGATGAACTCCCATGCAGTTCTGTGAGCACATTTATGTTGAGTATGGGTGATGCCGTCACTAACCCTGGCAGTTTTTGTCCGTCCTGTACTTAATGGCAGTACGCGAGGATGCAGGGCCAGTGTCAGTAATGGGCAAACATTCTCTGCCATTGAGAGCTTTTGCTGCAGATTGCGGTTCTGTCTGTTTCCGTGATTTTCCCAGCATCCCTGGCAGCACTGTGGACTGCTTGTCTGGTCTGTGTGTGTGTGTGCAGTTGGCAGTGACAGCTAGAGTGATATGGATTATACCCTGCACTGACATGTATTATAGGGCACATTGAATGCTCTGTTCAGTGTCAGTGTCAGCGTTGTCACTCAGATAAAGCTGTGGTTTCCTGTTGGAGGCTGACAGACCTGGCCCTCCATCAACAAGCCTGGACTTACATGGAAATTATTCTGAGGTCTTGGCCACATAAAAAATGCCTGTATACATGCATGAGTTCAGCCCACGTTTAACACCTATCCGTCCCATAGAAATAGCAGCAGAGGAACACTTTGTTTTGGTTCTGTGGTTTTTGATTGTGATCCGTCAGTAGTCTTATTTTTCACATCTCTTAATCTCCCTTGAGCTTCACTTCTTGGCATTGAGTAACTGTCGCATACTAAGTGAGAGACTGTTTTTTTTTTTACCTATATTTTTGCACAAACACATGCTTTCACATCCTCTTTTTCAAAATCTCCCTATCTCACCCCTATTTTTCATTTTTCCCATCCCCCCTCTGCCATCTATAACCATCCAAACCAATGCATTCCTGTCCTCGCACTAAAGCCAGGGAGTATTTTCATTCTCTCACAATCCTTAAAACTGAAGCAGTTGCACAACTGTTTGGCTCCAAGTTTGCATAACTCCAAGTCAGACCAAGAGAAAACCACCAGAGGGACTGTGTGTACTTCTGTATGGATTTCTAGCCTTTGTGTGTGGTTGTGTGTGTGTCCACAGTACAGTATGTAAGGGTGGATTAAATTCACATCTGTCTTACTTTACGTGCCATGTCTTTTTCATTCCCTGCCCTCCGTGTTGCAGGAAGCACATGTGTTCATTAGCGCAGAGAAGGTGGAGGACGTGACAGAGGAGAAGATAAGGGCAGAGCTCGGCAAGGCCCAGGCCAACACTCCCGCACAGTGGGTGAGAAGGAGCTCCAGGTCAGCGGACAAGGAGGAATTAGTGGTGGGTGTCCTGCAATACCTCATGTGCCCATCAGATGGAGACAGAGACTTTCGTATACACATTGTGACACAATTTAATGTAGAAACTTACTTCCTCTGTGACTTAAGTGTTTTACTTTTGCATTTGTATGCCTTATTTGGAAGTGTAACAACTTGTGGCACTACATTAACTATTCCTTTGTTCTTATAGGGTACAAATTACAGAAAAACAAATGCTGCTATGGAGATGAGACGGATAAACAGAGACTCATTCTGGGCACGTGCAGAGGTACACCAAAGTAGCTTGAATTAGCCGCATTTGAGTGGCTGAAATATAGTTCAGCTGGATGTTTACTGTCATTTAAACTTGGGAAGCTTTTAAAGAAATTAAAATTAAATTATTTTCCCATTTTTTTTCGCTGTGTGTGACAGCGTGAAGAGGAAGAGAGGAAAGAGGAGGAGAGGAGGCGAGCAGCAGAGGAGCGACGCCGCCTTGAGAGAGAAAGAGTTTTAAAGGAGCGGAGGGATGCAGAAGAGAGAGACAGAAAGATGGAGGAGAAGCTACAGATGATTGAGGAGCAGAGGTAGGAACAAAGTCTGCTTCCTGTCAACGGCGCCCTCTAGTGGCTGTATTTTTTACAGCATGGAAGAACAAAGTATATTCATGTACACAATAAATGCACTGTAATTTTGGATAATAATTTTTGGAAACAGCAATAAGTGGTGCTATTTTATTTGTTTTTCTGTCTGGTAGGAGAAAACAGGCAGAGCAGGAAGAAGAGATGCGCAGACAGGAGAAATTCAAATGGGTGAGTGACAAGATGTGTACGTATTACTGGAATTTCACAGTGTCTGCTTGTAAAATGATGTAATGTCAGTTTGGCAAAAGTGGTCGAGCCATGATTTCACGGGCAGAATGGACACCTGCTCTGCTGGCGTCTGGTTTTGCAGCTTGGTCAGACTGGCCTGAACTCAGTGACCCCTGTGCAAGAACTGAAATGACCTTTGGCTGGGTGAGGTCTGATTATAAAACTGTTACTGTCATTGAAGACATTAAAACTGACCCTTTTATCTGTGTAAAGGCCATTGCAATTCAGATTACTGCTTTATGAACAAACAGTAGATTGACTGTATCCACTGCTGGTCATTTAGTTTACAATGACATATTTAAGGGACTCAACAATAAGAACGTTATAATTTAAACATAAAGCTAAATAAATTAACCCATCACTGAATCATTGTCACACGCTCTGAACGCTTTCTACACATATAAATCACTTAACATGACAGACTTGTTGACAGTCGATAACCAATAATGCAGAACTTTAAATGCACTCCAAGGTTGTGGCTTCCATGTTCAAACTGTACAAGACTAAATATGATTTGTTTTTAAACTTAAGATAATACACCAGACATTAAACGACAGAAGAAAAATCTGTTTTGGAGGTGGGTTGTGTGTGTGACCATGGTTTGGAGTAGTGTTGTCAAAATATCAATTTATCCATACACACACACACACACACACACACACACAACTATAGTTGCCGCTAAAGCGCCGCCTCCTCTCACTTGCTGTCTCCTCTCAATGTAATTTGATTTAATGGAGCTCTAGTGCCATCGGAAACATATGTTTGCCAAAGCAGACTTAAAATAAAAAACAAAAATGTATGTGCAATAAGTAAAGTTTACTGGAATGAAGAAATATTTTTTGTTTTTTACTTGCACTCTATTGCATTTTGAATGTGTGATCATGGGCACTATCGCAAGAAGAATATTGTTTTCATTAATATAAAAAATGTTTTAATTATTGTTCATATTTATAATAGTCATTCTGCTACTAACCAAGAAAAAATCTGTCATCATGTCATAGCTGTAATACATTTATATATTAATAACAAAAATAAATCATGTGCTCTCAAATGTCACTTTTTCCCTGTGGTATTAAAAAAGAGATAATGAAATATATATTTTTCAAAGTATTGTATCAAATTTAGAAATTCCACTATCATGGCAACACTAGTTTGAAGGAGGCATTCCTCACAGGGTTACAAATTCACCTCCAGCCTTGGTTACGAGTGCAGACTGTATACAGTACATTTCTATCTATTAGAGTTATGTCTAAAGGTGGTTATACTTGTGTGTATTGAGAGGTTTGCAGATGTCAGAGATAAGTACTTGCAAGGTGTTGCTTCATTTGCCATGTTCAGAGTGGGCACTGATCGCTGTTTCATTAATTAGGGGACTAAATGTCAAAACACTCTTTGAGTTTTCACAATTTTCACAAGTCTTGAGTGTTGTGTCATCTACTTTTTTCAAATACTTCTATTTTAAATGAAGAGATTAAAAGTGTTAAAATGTGTGTGTGTGTGAATATGCAAATGTTTTTGCACTGACAGGAACAGCAGCAGAGGGAGCATATGGAAGATATGAGGGCTCGTCTTAGAAGGAGTGAGTCCATAGAGAAAGCAGCAGTAAGTGGATCTTAGACTACTACAAATCACAACAGCTAACATTACTTAATTTTGTTTTGAATCAGCTCTGTTTAATCATTTCAATTTCCTTCCTATACTGTGCATCACTTGACCTGCAGGAGGCAGCAGCATTAGTATCGCAGCGCTCCATGAACCCTCGGGAGTTCTTCAGGCAGCTGTCGTCATCATCATCACAGAGTCCCACCAGTCCTGGATCCTCCCGCACTGGTAGGTACACTGTGTGTGAGCTTGAACACAGAGCAGTTCTAGACAAGGTCCATATGAGTTTATTGAAATAGCCCTAGGATGCAGTCCATAAGTTTTAAGTTTTTGGGCATACAATGTGTATTCTTTCTCGGGGTTAACTTTCATTTCATTATTGTAGGGAACATGTACTGTATCAAGTGGGGAATCTGGGGGTCCTCCCACAGGAAATTTTGAGCATCAAACACTTTGTTTCTTGCATTCTGGTGAAGTTTTATGCACCAATTTATGGTGGAAATGTCTTTTATATATTGCTTTTAAATATTTATTCTCCTTTTGATCATTTTTTCTTGTTTAATGTTTTCCCTGCTGAGTCAACCGAATGTAGGCATTGTTTAGTTTTGGGGTCCTCCTTTGTCTTTTGATTGGGGAAGTAACCTCTTTTAACGTGCATGTGATTTCTGCTCATGTTCAAAACTTTTTTGTAATATTCCAAAATTAATTTAATACAAATGCAAATATGATGAACTGCAATTGCACAAGAATAAAGTCATAATTTTGTAAGAAAAAAAACTGTTTGCCCGAAAGACTGCTGTGCATCATCATGTTCTTGCTCTGCTGGTCACAAACTGTTCTCTTCCACTCCAGGCAAACCCTTCAGACGATACCAGCGCAGCCTGACAGACACGGCCTTCATCTTCTCTAAACCAGAGGGGAGCACATCATCGTCCCCTTACAGTTCACCCCTGGTCTCCCCCTTCTCCCGGGCTCCTCCCTCCCCCATCTACCGTGCCACATCTCCCCCCACGAGCCCCGATTTCCGCCCCGTCACCTCTCCACAAAGGCCCAGAGCCCCCATGTCGCCGCCTACATCACCTCCTCGCCCTGCCCCTCCAGTGTCAGCCCTGCCCAGCGTCCCACAAACGAAAAACGAAGTTCAGGCTGTTGTTGAGCCCAAACCCCCATCACCTACGGAACCTTCTGCACCTCCGGCCTCCCCGACTCTCTTGGCTTCCTTGTCCCCCGTTTCAGTAAAAGACAACCCCTCTCAGTCACAACCAGGGGCCCTGCCTGCCTCGCCCCCAAATACCCCGACCGAGCCAGAGCACTCATCTTTCTGCTTTGAGCCTGGTGTAGCTCCACAGGCTCCAACAGCTCCTCTTCCAGAGATACCACAGCCAAACACAGGTAGGGTGCAACAAAGAATTATACTGAGATCTAACAGTACAATTTTATTATATTTCTACTTTTTTAAGGTAATGTACAGAGAAGGTCTCATTACCGCAAAAACAACACAATCATGGTGATGGTGCAGTGAAGAAGAGCATAATACGCTGTTTATTACTTTGCCAAAGACATTAATCGTCTGACATTAAGTAGTGGTTGTTAAACTTTTTATTACAGGCTAAAGTGACTTAGATGCTTTTGCCAAAAACTACTCCGCACACTCCAGACTGTGTAAAGCAGGCCAGCGACTATGAATCAGTGGCCTATTATACAGAAATGACAGAGCACAGAATATTTTTACAATCCAGTCACAATTAAATATTCCTTAAGTAACCACATACACTTTTAGTCGTGCCAAGCTCAACTGTAACGTGCACCCAGAGAACCCGACTTTTGCATTCTTCATGGTTTTTCTACCCCACACACACACACACACACACACACACACACACACAGGCTCTTTTACAACATGTAAGCTTATCAAAAACACAGTGGTGTTTTAATGATATAATTTTTCAATCAACAGACCTCAACACAGCTGCTTATGTGCACACTGAGCTGGTCTCAGACACTGGCTACAAAGTACAGGCTGTACTGGTGGAGGAGGACGAAGAAGAAGAGGATGAGGTGGAGCCCGAGGGAGATAAGGCTGAAACACAACCACAGCCTCGCGCTGTTACCACAGAGCCAGTCCAGGCTGAGGCAGAGGAGCAAGAGGAAGAGGAGGAGGAAAAGAAGGAGGAGAAGGAAGTAGACAAGGAGGAAGAGGAGGAGGAGGAATTAAAACAACAGGAAGCTGAGCCTGCACCAGTGGAGGAGCCAGCTGAGGTGGTGCAGGAGGAAGAGGAGGCAAGGGAAGATGGAGAGGAGAATGACCAATCAGAAGACATTCAGGCCCCATCTGAGCCTGCTGAGCTATCAAAGGAAGAGCCAACAGCAGCAGTCACTGGTAACAGTCTTCTTCTTGTATTCTGTTATTTTGACTTGATTGACATTTGTATAATGTTTTGTTTCACTGTCACACACCATTTCATTTTAAATCTTTCCAAAAATTAATATGACATTTCATGATATGTTGCACGGTGACAAGAGACTATCATTATTGCAGATGCTGAACCAATTTGTCAAGTAATCAAACACGAGACTGTCGTCCTGTCAGCCAATGGGATCACCAACGGAGAGGACATGCAGGAACAGAACGGCATAGGTTTGGCAACAAATCAGTATTATTGAGTGATGATACATTACTAAATTAATTCCCTGTGTTGGTTGGACTTTAATGAATGCTTTTCACACTGGTCTTCTCCAGAGCGATCTTTGAGTCCATCTGACACAGAGCTCAGCACACCGGAGCTGGTCAGGTGCTACGATCATCATGTCACGGCAGAGGAGGATGACGTCATTGAGGACAAAGAACAGGAGATCTCAGAAAATGGACAAGAGGTTGGCCTACTGTTTCTACCAATGCATGTTGAACTTGAATTGTGGCCCTATAAAAAGGCTGTCAGTATATACAAAATTCAGAGCATCTAATTCGTAGTCTTAACCAGGATTGGCTGCCCACGGCTCTCAAAATGGAGGGGGCTGAGCTGGGCGGCTATAAGCTAACAGTGCTAACAGCATGAAAAGTGCTAACAATAGCAACAGTGCTAAGAGAAAGGCATTACACTTACGCAATGTTGCCGTTATCAGTAATAACGATTGGCTAGCCAGTGGGATACACACACATTGATTCACATGCATTAACATGCACATGTGACTGCAATATCTACCACAACAAAAAAACAGAGAGGCTCAGATTGCAACACACACAGAGGTAGCATGACTTTCTCTGCTCAGGATGCCATTACGCCACCATATCTTTACATAGCAAATAGTGGTTTGTTGCAGTGTAGTACGTAAAACCTTGAACTAAAAAGAATATTGCTGATTATTTGGTCGGGTCCAAAGGTTGTCAAACTAGTCTGTCTCTCAGTAGTCTCTGACCCCTGTCTGTGGAGCTCAGCCTCAAGCCCATTGGTTCATGATGAAAATGTAGATCTTTAAAACTGTTCGTAAACATGTTGTTTAATTTTTAATTACATCTTAGTAATTTCCTAAATCAGCTGGGTACTTTAATTTTCAACAAATGTTACTCAAACAGGAGTACACAGTGCATTTGCTGGGAACTATTTTCAGCAGTGGATTAATACACATTCGGTTTAGTAATTAGTATTTACAGCAGGACAGTGTATGTGTGACTGAGAATAAATTACAGGCAGACTACAGGTGTTGCTTGTGTTTTTATCAACAATAAATGTTCTCTGCACAGAGAAATAATTATATAAATGAGGCTTTGTTTACACAGGTAATACATTTTTATGGGCTTTGTTGACAACATGAGGAAATATATAAAAAAAACACGCCTTATCTTTTAAAAATAAAGTTCATATGAAGAAAGTTTCCATGAAAGTGATTTCATTTTCATTCATCCTGTCTTGTTAGTTTTAGCTAAACAAGACATGTATTTCATGATTACAGCCTTTCTCTGACTGCATTTTCCCCTCCACTTCAGGTTTTAGCCGAGCGACAAATGTGTGTCCGAGCTTTGTATGACTACCAAGCAGGTAAGCTGCCATTTAGAGGATAATCGCCACGCATGTGCACACAAAGTGCCTCCACTTACAGTAATTACACCATGATTAGTGGGTCTTCACCATGTTATCTTGGCGTGTTCCCACAGAGGACGAATCTGAGATCTCCTTTGAACCCGGTGACATCATCAAGGACGTGGAAACGGTGGACAAAGCCTGGTGGAGGGGATGGAGCAAAGATGGCCGTCAAGGCTTGTTCCCTGCCAATTATGTGGAGACCATATAGGCAGGCAGAGACACACGAGCACACACACATACACACACACACTCAGGGACGCCATCTCCCCTCACATTTGTGCATGTTTTTACCTTAATCCTCCCACTGAAACTTTGTACTCTCTATTTTGTTGGAAGGATAAAGAAAGATGTGACTCCCTGTTTTGTATAAAGCGTAAAGAAATGTGTGACTCTCTATTTTTGATGTTCTTTGAGCAAAACAAAATATTCTCACAAGTATGCAGAAATTACCCAGCCTCATTTTCTTGGATAAAATAGCGGGGACCTTTTTCCTGGACCAAAATAACTTATTTCCTTTTGAGATACAGCAGGAATGTTGGTGGGAGGGATCAGATCACGGTGACAAAGGATCACAAACTTGCTTTTCTTGTGAGAATACACAAACAGATTTTTATAGTGTATTGTTGTCTTTTTGATCCACACATATAACAAGCATTCCATTCTGCTCACCATTTGCTTTGTGTGTTACATTGCTAAAAAAAAATAATTTTTACTGCTCTTGACTGGTATATATAATCAAGACACATGTATCCGACATCGTCTTATAATCATCTTCCTGTATTTCCTGAGTTATTTTGTAGCACTGTTTTGTTACTGACAGTCTCGCAGCACACTCTAATTACCAGAACAGTAGCATAACAAAAGATAAACAAGCAGAGGAAAAAGGCACTGTACTGACACCTGTGTTTCTCCATCACTCCTTAAGATGGGCCGTATATTTTGTTCATATTGCGATGTCCTTCCATACATTTTGTGATTATGCCTCTTCTTAATTTTTCCTAGATTTTAAGAAATTAAAGCATTCTGATGATATGAAAATAATCTTACTCTTTTAATCCTCTGTAATATCTTAATACTCTACACTGTATATAAGAATGTATAAAAACACATCAAAGATCTTTTCTTTTTCTATGCTTGTATGTTTGTATGCTGTATGCTTGTTTGATGGTATGTATATGTTCTTTGTATTTACTCCAAACTTACAAATATATAGCTTTTACAAACTGCTTTGAAATGCTTGTCTCCTGGTTTATTCTTCACCTTTATGGTTTTCAACAACCAAGCAGCAACTGTAACAATATTATCATTATGGTTTTCTATATTCTTTCAAATATTAATATATAGTGTCCCTAATATTTTGCCATGCTAATGGTAGTAGTCTTGTGCTTATTTTTAATCTCCAGTTTTATTCCTACATATTTGTTTTTGTTGAGAAGAGATCAAACATTACTAGTTACTCTGTTAAAAATTGTAACAAGTAATATTTCAATTTCATTTTTATTTATAAAGCACAATATCACGAATCCTAATTTGCTTCAGAGGGCTTTACACCATACGACTTCCCTCTGTCCTTGGACCCTCACAGCTGACAAGGAAAAACTCCCCCCAAAAAACTTCACAGGAAAAAAAAATGGTAGAAACATAATATAACTATTTTAATTACTTCATCAAAGTAATGTAACTTATAATATGGGATTACTTTTCTAATAAATACTTTGCACTGGGGAATAAAGCTGAAAGACGTCCGCAAACAGGATATGCCAAAAGAAGGCATTGCTGCACGGCAAAAAGATGCAAAGCAACAGAATGAATGTTACACACTACATAAAAACTTTTTTACTGAGAATAATCTAAATGAATATAACCCCATTGTAATCACCAACCTTTGATTAGTTGTTATTTAATTTCATAATTTTCCCCGTAACTGTTTAATAACAATAAATGTCCTTTTTGACATTTTGCAGGGATTCTAAATCATCCTATGTTATGTATAAATATGCCATGCCAAAGTAATTGAAAAGTCAATTCAGTTTTCATAGCACACAGCATTACTCATAAACATGACAGTGATTATGAGCAGGTGGTGTCATAATAAGGATAGCACACATTTGATTTTGTCTCATAGGAAAACAGCTTCACACCCTGATGAAGACTCTTAAGTCGAAATGTGTTGGTTTATCCATTAATAAAGGATTTTTAACTATAGTCAGAGATGCATTTTTGGACTGCATGCTGGGACAATGGACTTTTACGCTGAGTGAGATTCCTTGTCCTCAAATAGCACCTGATTTTTTTACAACAATTACATAGTGCCTTAATTGAGTGCAGCACTCCCTGTTTTTTTTCTCAAGTCTAAATAGCTTATTTAACTCATTAGTGAGAGCATATTTTCAGCAAAAGTTTGAAATGTTATTGGTAGAATAAAGTTTTTCAATTTATTTTTAATCATTAGGTTTTTCATGAGTAAAACTGATTTAGATGATGTATTTTTTTCTATTGTACTTATTTATGCATTCATTCCTAAATGCATTGGGTAGAAGGAAAAAAAAAGTTGTTAATTGTAGTGTTGTGTTTGCACCTATAGGTGGAGACATTGCCTTTTCCAATATGTCAGCGACAACACATTTGAGGGAGAGCTCAGTGAAATGAACAGATTCCTCAGGACAAAAGGCAAAATATTTTGACAGGCAGAGAGGAGGCTCATTGTTACACACATTTCAGGAGTGGGATATCCAGACATTTCCAAAGCTAAAAATTGCTAATGCTGCTACACCTCAAACAGGATTTTCCCCTTAGGGTAATAATGATTGATTGAATATGACATTAATATTTCTTAACCATACACCTTTAATATTTATGTGAGGGCTAGGTTATGCTCTTGTAGTGCCAGTTCAATAACAGCGTTTGGCAGATGTGCCTCTGTTCGGAAATAGAGAGGTAATGTTTGACATGGGTCTCATCCTGCCTGAACTGATGCCTGTTGACAGACTGACTAAATCTATCCAGGAGACTATTCTGTCGAGGTTATCCCAGAAGGCTAATCACCAGTGATATGTGTGAAAAGGTGATGAGCCTCTTATGAAATACTAATTGGGTTGCAGGAAGAGGACCGTGAAAAGCTCAAATGAGCAAGATTGAGAGATAGAAAAAAAATAAGTTTTAAAAAAAGGAAAACTAGACATTAATCGTATAATATATATAATTTTACATCGGTGTGCACGAGAGAGATAAACAGCCACAGAGAGAGAGAGGACATCTGTGCGCAGAGGATATGAAGGCAAATTGATCTCGACAGTTTCGTCCCCTCTTCACTCACCTCGCCATATCCCCGTTCCCATGGTCATCCCCACAACTCCAGAGATCCCTTGTCTCTTCAGATTAAACAGAGTGATAGGAAGACAGCGGCTAATGTGCCAGTCAACCTTCCCTTCCCTTGCCCCTCTGTCTTTAGGCTGTTCCTTCCTTCTGTGACCCTCATCAGTAACAAAAACCCTTCAGCTAGGGTGCTAAACTAACAGAGAACGCCCCCTCCCTCCTCCTGACTTTCCCTTTATCTCTTATTTAACTGACAGAGCCTATCTGACCGGTGGAGGACTGACAAGTGTGGGACGGCCGAGGTGAAGTGGCGGTAGGGAAGTGCCACTCACTGTAGTGTTATCAGCACAAAGGCCAACAACAGACACCTAATCTGACCTGGCTGCTGATGGCTTGTGGCTTATTGGCTGGGTTTCTGCTCTGAAGCAGATTCTGGCAAACCTCGGAGGGGAGGATAAGCACAGGCACGCACATATGCACACGGGTATGGATACACACGTGAAACACACATACCATGAACAAACAACCGCAGACGCCCACTATTCTTAGCCTCCATTTCCGAGGCAACCTCCTTCTCCTTGCCACTCCTCAACCCCTGCCTGTCATCGTCTAACTTATAGTTTGCTGCAACTTTTTGTGATTAATTAAGTGTTTGGGAGAGTGTCAGTTTGTAGGAGACAAAAATCTTACCACAGCAGTCTCACAACTCTGTGATCAGCCTTCCTTTCTCACTGTACCGTAGCTGCGAGCACCTGTCTGCGAGTGTGAGTGAACGGGACTTGTTTTTTGGCTCATTGTTCTGCAGAGTTAAAACATGAAGGATCAACCCATCAGTCCTGAAGGCTTCAGGTTACCATACCAATATTTGTGCCAGTGGACGGTCTGGTTGGATCTTCCCCCCTCCAAAGTGCTGTGAAAGTTACACTGCCCACATTGCTCAGCTTTCGTAAAGGTTTGGCACAGCTCAGCCATGTGATGTTATTTTTAAAAGACTTAAGAAGCTCCTGTTTCTCTCTTCCCTTGCTGAAATAAAGATCAGTGTTGGTAAGCACCTGTATGTAAGAGCACTCACTGAGAAAATGGGTCTCATTTTCGTCTTGGCTCTTTGTTCTGCAGGGGCAACAGTTACCACAGGCAACATTTCATCCACCGCATCAAACATTACCCGCCGGCTATAGAAACTCCATTGCAACCCTTGGTGCTGTATCAAAATGTGAATCCGCCACTGATGCTGTTTGCTTGTGAGAGGATCTCAAGGCTACAACTGTTATCTGGGAAGAATTTCTCTCAACTATTATGCTTCCTCAACATAAATCAGCTTTAGCTTGGTGATAATTCCATCTGGTGTAAGTCTTGATTAAACCTTTGCTTTTAGACATCTCTCTTGTTCTTGACATTGTCATTTTCTGTTTTTCCCTTTAAAGATAATCTTCAAAACCGCTGAAGTAGATAACGCCTCGGAAGCTCCTGATGGCTCCAGCCAAGATTTTACTGTCAGCATAGAAACCGGCCCATTAACTTCTGAAGCCCTCTTTGGCAAAGATCCCTTTCCCCTCTATTGCCATCAAAAAGCTATTTCCCTCGGCCAGTCCCACACAGCCCTAACAATGAACAGAGGATTAGAACATCTCTGTGTCTTGAAGCAAAAAAAGTAAAAATGGATTTAAAAAAAAAAAAAAAAAAATCTCTTTTTACCAGTCATTGGTGAAGAGTAGTTGGCAGCATTTCCTCCCCGGGATTTTTCCTGACATGATTCCCACGAGGCGGTTTTTGCTTTTACGATACAATTCCTGCGCTTACAATCAGCCAACATGTGGCATTGTGATCCAATCAGAGAGATTTTTTTCTCCCCCTTCAGTTCGTAAATGGTTAAGTCTCTCAGTCTATTGTGAAGGAATCTTCAAAGTGGTTGGAAACCACAGGGGAACATTGGTAGTTGTTAATTAATGCAACAGACTCTGTACAAACGCTTTATTTTCCTGATTAGAAAGATGAAAAAATAAATCATGCTTTGAATCTAGCAACAGGCACGTCCAAATCTGTTACCTCATCTTCAAGCCGTTATCCTGGACAATGAAATGCTGTTGTTTCTCTGAGAGCCATACGTGATTTTTATTAACTCTGCTGTGGTTCCAGAAGAAATATCTCCCTCTCTGGTTTAGGTTTATTGGATTTTTCTTCATACCGATCATTTATGTTTCCATTCAGTAAATTGACGTAAAATGTGTTTTGCTAAAATGATCTTTTCTGGTTTTTATGACTATCATTGAATTTGAAAGAAATGGGAAACATGACAGAGGCTGTGGTAACCGCTGAAAGGCAACTAAAGCAAAATTGGCCCAGATGAATGACGGATAATGGGGTTTAATCTTTAGGTTTACTAAATTGCTTTCAATCCAGTAAATGACTTTAAATGTTTTGGATTGCTTGTGATTGTACACATTTTCATATTTTTTAATAAACAGCTAGAGTAAAAAATTCTATGACGAATGGTGAAATATTGTCAAAGTAAATCATGACCTTAAACTGAAGACTAAATTGTTTTCAGAGGCACAGTCGGCATGTAAACATGGGTAATGTCTCAGTGGTCAATAACGGGGTGAGCTGTCCCTAAAGACTAGCAGGGGTGAAAGCCCTCATTCTATTGGTGACTCACATACACACACACATGCTCTGGGTTTCACACACACTGCCTGTGGCACCGCAATCACTGCCAGATGCTGTGACTTTCTCTCAGACAATTCATTTCAAAAGTATCTCTGAAGGAGCCATGCCGATGGTGGCATTTGAGGGAGACAAATGTACATAAGCATGCGTGTGTTAGTGAGTGATGGGGATATGCCGGTGGCAGTGCGTGAAAAGGACACATATGAGATCAGATAGAGTTGAAACTAATTCACAGCCTGGCCTGGAGACATT